AGCAGTAATTTGACGGCGCCAACCAGATGCTTTTTCCAGTAGCTAAATCGTATAGCAGATCAGGCTAGATGACGGTTTACTGTAGGATACAGGTTCGATTCATGGCGGGAGACTTACATTTTCTATGAAATTTCTCGGGCATTCAGGCCAGTAAATTTAGTTAATACTTTTATTATAAACAGAGTGTGCCAGTTGAGCAATGGTGAGAGGAAAATATCATTCAGGCATTCAGTCATTCTTTGGCTTCCATCTTTAAAATCCATTCAAGAACCATTAAGAAAACGGTGAATACATTTTAAAAAGAAAGAACAATAGGAGGCTAAAACAGCAAGAAGTGCCGTCATTTCAACTTATAGCTAAATACATTCTTATTTTTCAAAGTAGAATCCAATAGTCGTATAAAAACGTCTTAGAATTCTTAATCATTTCTAAGATACAATGGTTCAAAGCTTAATTTACCAATTGGATAATTTTGCTGTGACACTGTTATACAGTGTAACCCGGATATAAGAGAGTTGTCGGGACCGGAGAATAAGTCTCTTATATCCGGGTTTCTCTTATATCTGGGTTTGGTCTATTATATATACATTAACACAGGCTCTAATTTGGGACCAGAGAAAATCTCTCTTATATCCGGGTTTCTCTTATATCCGGCTCTCTTATATCCGGGTTACACTGTTACACTGCGGATTCTCGGTCTCACGTTGACTGCTGACCTGAGATGGAATAAATACATCGAATCAATTGCCTCGTCCACTGCGATGAAAATTGGCTCCCTGAGCCGCGCTAGGAAGTTTTTCTCCCCTGAGTCGATCCTCCAGCTATACAAATCCACAATTCGCCCTTGCATGGAGTATTGCTGCCATATATGGTCTGGCGCCCCTTCTGTTTGCCTCGGGGTTCTTGATAGGCTCCAGAAGCGGATATGCAATATGGTTGGCCCTGCCCTGACGTCTCGTCTACAGTCACTTTCTCACAGACGCGCCGTCGCCTCCCTCTGTCTGTTCTACAAATACTTTCATGGAAATTGCTCCGAGGAGCTGCATTCGCTGGTTCCCAGACGTCATGAGTTCAAGCGCCCTACGAGGCTGGCATCCCGCTCTCACCCCTTCACTGTCGAAACTCCTAAATGTAGCCGTCTCTTCTACCCCAATAGCTTCATGTCTCGCACCTCTCGCCTGTGGAACTCCCTTCCCTTCTCCTGTTTCCCTGTGAGCTATAATCTCCAGCTATTCAAGTGTAATGTTAATCGATATCTCCAGTTGCCTTAATCTATCCACTACCCTCATCCTTTCTTCTATCACTCCTAGCTGATCTAGCTCCAAATTTTCTGTAACCCCTTGCGTCCTAGTGGCTTCCCGCCTTGCTTGGGGTGAAACGCTTAAAAAAAAAAGGTATAATCAAAAGATATCGGTACCAATGCTATAAAAAGAAAACTATAATACATAACAATTCGGTATTTAAATCTTCTTCAAGGTAGTCCTCTTCTAAAGTTACAAACTTTACCCAACATCGTTCCCATTGATGGAAGCATTCGTAGACCTCTTTTTTCTGACAGCAAATACCTGTCTTGTTGCATTCTCTTGGATCTCCTCGACGTCTTGAAATCTTGTTCAATTCAAGTGGGATTTGATTTTTGGAAAACGTTGCATGGGGTGAGATCTGGGAAATATGGTACTTGTTGGATTTGGGGGAATGTTGTTCTTAGGCAGATCTTTTGCACAAGCCATAGTCGCTGACGGGGATTCTGTGGCGTGGTCAGACGATCACACTCTACACACTTTCCTTCCGAGCATAAATAACGAAAGTGAGCGAGAAGTTTATAACTTTGTGTACATGCGTGACAGACTTCAAAGTCAATCTGTGCCAAGCAGCTTCACTCTGCGAATTTTAACTCCGTTACAATGGCAACAGGACCAATAATTATTAAAAGTATGCTTTTGAATTGAAAGTTTACAAAATCTCAGAATTTGACAATTTTTAATGTGAGGGAACTTTTGAAGTGAACTTACAAGAATGTCTTATTAAAAGAAAGAAGCATTTTTTTCTGGTCTAGTAAGTCAATTGATTTTTATCGATTTTTTATCGATAGCGTCTCTAGTTACAGTTACGGCGCAGCAAACAGTGGCATATTTGGGATCGGAAGATTCTTACACATGCACTGTATCTGCCAGACCTGTTCGCTTCAAACTAGTACTAACATCTAACATTCCTTGTTTGGTCAGTGGTTCCAAGAATTTCAAGATATTTAACAATTTCTAGAAGAGTTTACCTCAGTGTTTGAGAAATCCACCCCTAACGAAAGAAGGTGAAATGAAAACTCGGATGGAAAATTTCCTTTAAGGAAGAGAGGTGTATGGTCCACGCTCATTGGTCAATCGGAGAGATCGTGCCATTAAAGCGTAAACAGAAAGAACCTGTTAGACGAAATGCCTGATAAATGACAAGAAGTCGTTAATTAGAAAACTCAAGAATGTGGCTTACTTTTTCTGACTGCAAAAAAAGCTGAGTCGAGAGTAGTTTGGAGTCTAAAAACAGAATATATCGGTTGCTTTTTTTTTTCCCACGAACAGTTAATTTGAGAAAAAAATCTATTTTGGAAACTAAGCAAAAGTGTGTAAAAAGTAGCTATTTTTGCAGTGTGCAAATGAGTTGAGAATAAAAAAGTCGTGGAAACAAGGGCCAAAGTTCTTTTCCTAATATGCAAATGACTTTACGAAAGAATATTTTCTCGTTGGAACAACAAAATATTGTGCAATAACGTCTCATAGAATTTCCAACTTGTATTTTCAAATTGTTCCGTTTCTTTTGCCTTCTCTACTCCACTAGGTTTTGGTTACATTTATTATTAATGTGTGCATTGTATTCGGTGGGTACACCAGTTTGAGTAGATATTAGTGTTCTTTTTTTAACAGTGAAACTGATATCGACCAGTCAGAGTATATTCGAAATCTTATTAAAGAAAATGTGTCTATCGACAATAAAAGTTTAAGAAGTATTTCGATTGGCGAGGCCGGTATACGTCAATTTCTCTCTTAAAAAATTCAAATGTCTACTCGAACTTGTGTCTTACTAATATGACGTTTATAAGTAAATACAAAAAATATCGGATTACGAAATCAATTGACTACTTTAATATTGCTTAAATACACGCGCGCACACACACACAGATCACCATTATATATATATATATATATATATATATATATATATATATATACAGTAGCGTCCAAAACTAAGGGACAAAATTTTAAAACCTAATATTTGTTAGAAATAATAACTGTGAAAAGCTGAAATTTTGACAACTGGTAGTCGTTATCATCCATAATAACATACTAATTTTGTCCCTTAGCTTTGGACGCTACTGTATATATATATATATATATATATATATATATATATATATATACACACATATATATATATATATATATATATATGAGAGAAAAAAATGGATTTTTATGAATCTGACATTTTATCACTAATTTTTAGTGGTTACTTGTATTTGAGTAGACGCTTCGTTTATTGATTGAACAGTATATTTATTTATTTTCGCCTGCCGAAATACGAAAATAAATAAAACTGTTTAATGAATAAACTGGTATATATATATATATATATATATATATATATATATATATATATATATATATATATATATATATATGTATACCAGTTTATACATTAAACAGTTTATTTATATATATATATATATATATATATATATATATATATATATATATATATATATGATTTCCTCCCTTCTATCCTCTCACTGCTCTTTCGCTACTTCACATTAAAAAGTGTGTCCAGACGAACTATATTCCTTGGTTCCACCAGTTCTAAACTTCAAGGCTAGGAGCCACCATGCCATTCATATTGTAGTGAACCACACTCATTCCCTCCGTTTTCCATTGGTGAGAAGTTCTACTTGAACAGCTTCTTCCCGCAAAGAATTGCTTTGTGGAAACGATTCCCAACAGAATGTTTTCCCGATCACTAAAATCTTAACCCCTTCAAGTCTTCCCCTCATATCCGCATAATCTGTGACTCTTACTCTGTAACCCTCTACCTCAAGTGGCTCCGGGCCTTGCATAGTTTGGACATCACTGCAAGCCAAAAAATGTATATGTAACTATATAAATTCCCCTCTGTAGAACTTTGCATAGCTTGCTGCTTGAATTTCTCTTTTGATCCATACACACAAACACACATATTGTATTTCCTAAATTCTGTTTTTATTTTATTTTCTTAGCCTTGGTGAAAGTTAATAGGAGCTTTTTGTATTCGCTTTACATTTGTTGTGTATGATACACCTAATTTACATAAGCGGACTACCGACCATATAAATATGGGTTGGTACCGGAAGACGGGGAAGATAGTAGAGATTAAGAAATTGAATCCAGAGACTCTGCCCGACTGCGATTTAGTCAACCCATTATGCAGGAACAGTCTTCCCAAGAATATACCAAACTAACTGTAAATATTGTGTACCTATTCTTTGTTTCAATACATTTTGTTAACGTACATTTTGTGTTGTATTATTCCATGCTTATTTAAGCTTCAACAACATTATATCCTCGGAAAATGTTATAAATCTCCTCTTCCTTACTCTCTATGCGATACTGAACATGCGTCTTGTTACTGACATATTACGGTAGCTAATGATGATGAGATGGCATTGAGAAAGCTCCTTATACTTACCTGCACCATGTCCTAGCAGTTAAGGCCTGATCTGGTGAAACTAAAGAATAAAGCCCAAAATTCAACATTTGCCATGTAATTAGCGATAGAGTAAGCGAGCGACTTGCAACTAAGTGTCTATTTAACCTATAATTACTATTTAACCCATAACTGAGGGAGAAGAGATGGATTCATACCTTTCCCAAATGTATTTGGGCGTAAGTGAAAATAACGAACTCGAGTGAAATTGAAACTCGATTCTCCGATTTCCAATTCCGATCCGTTATCCAATATACCACCCTCTCACCCAATTTTATAGCACCTGGTATTCCCAAGTGGTTACCCATGTAGATACTGACCAGGCTCGACATTACTTAACTTCAGTTATCGTGCGAGAACCGATGCTTGAACGTGATATGGCCGTAAATCATATCACTCGAACATCCAACCTTACAGTACCTGTTATTCCCAAGCGATTACCCATGTAGTTATTGACTAGGCTGGACGTTGCTTAACTTCGGACATCGTACGAGAACCGGTTTTTTCAACATTGCATGGCCGTAAAGCTTACCACACGCACGTCCGACACTACAGCACCTTGTAATTCCAAAGCTGCCACCTATCTGGGTACTTACCAGGCTCAACGTTGCTTAACTTCGTTGATCGCACGAGAACCGGTATTTCAACGTAACATGGCTAAAAGACATACAACTCGCCCATCCAAGCTTACAGCAGCTGGGATTCCCCAGCGGTCAATACTGACCCGGCGTTGTTGAACATCAGTAATCGGACGAGAACCGCGGTTTCAACGGGACATGTCCCTAAGCCCGTTCGTTCTATAAGACAGACCTTATTATCTACGTAATAAATACGAATGTCAGTGTGTTACTGTGACACAGTTTGTCAACTTTAGTCTTAGAGCCCGTAGCCCAACATATAATATCATTTTGGAATCAGGGCGACTCCGTGAGCAAATTAAAAACATTTCGGATTGGATCAGGATCCGCAATCCTGAAATTTTAGGTTCCCCAAGTTTTCATTACTGCAATTGTTTTCGCCGATTTTTACTTGATTTTTTGCGACGAATTATTTTTTTGTACGATATAAATTTATATAACTTGGGAATAAATTTGGAAACAATCGAAATTAATTGCGAAATCCAGGGAAAGTCACCCATGAAATAAAAATAATTGTTTCTACAGAAAGAAAGGACCGACATACATCAAATTGTTTTTAAATTAAATGGCGACAGAAGAATTATCGTTGAACTTTAAAAAGGTAAGCTTAAATACTTATATGCAGCGATTAATTGTGAGTTCTTCTGTAGTTCATTGTTGCCTATCACATCTACTCCTTCCTAGCTATTGTGATCAAGCCGAATCAAGATACCTCCGTATGATCTAGCTTAAATGCCGCCCGATAGGGTGGCTTTTAAGCTATTATTCTAATAAAGAGATTTAAATGGCTCTAACGTAGATTTCATTTAATTAGTCTCAAAAGAATTAACTGGCTCATAACGAAAAATAAATAATATTTTAAAAGATAGGTTGGCTGCATTTTGACAACGGTACGACAATATTGTCGCGGCACTCGTGCCAAACAAAACAAACCGCAATGTTTTGTCTAATACAGCTAATTGAGCCAAAGGAATTCGTTATGAAAACAAACAATTGCTTCCTCCGGCAGAGCAGGTCAGGTTATGAGTAAAGCATTAAAGACACGAGATCTTTCCACTCAAGTGAGATACAGAACAGCAGGATTATCGCTATGTTATTTATTTTTCCTTTTTGCTGGATATAGCTTATCAACTACCGATGACAGCGGCGTGATAATGACGACATGGCCATCAAGAAATTAGAACCTATCTGGTGCCAGGAAAAGTAAAGAAATAAATTCTACAATAGATGAAAACAAAAACAAACATTTAAAAAAAAAAGAAAGTAGACAGAGTAATAAGCCGAATTTGCATACGTCAATCTTATGAACCATCGGGAACAACCCTCCATAAATAGAAAACAGAAACAAATAAATAAAATTATAAATAAATAAACAATTTCAGTAAATAAATAATAAACAAATTAAAAAACGCTACGAATGCACGCAAAACAACCGCAACTAAATAGATTTAATAATAATAATCAACAACAACAAATAACTAATGAATAAATGCAAAATCCCCTAAGTACTCAATAATAAATAATTAACTAATTTTTTATTACTGAGTATTTAGAAAATTTAAAAATTTAAAAATAAAAAAAAATATCAACACACTAGCAGCAAATTCTGAGCCACAGTAATTTCTATTCAATAAGCGTTAGAATAATTTGAAATATAACCGTTGTTGCCTACGTAATAACTGTTAGGATAATAAAATAAACCGGAAATACATGATCAGGCTACCCATAATGCGCCATTGGCCTACATATATAAATAGTCGAGCTACCATACAACATACATGGCCTGAAGTTTTCCTTCAAGCGTATGTGTATTTGTGTGTGCGTGTGTGTGTGTGTGTGTGTGTGTTGTGGGTGTGGTGATAGACATAAAAAAATAACATGAACGCCAGCATTTTGTCATCTCTACAAACAGACCGATGAGAAAAATCGCCAGGCAAACAAAGCCATATTTCGACCAACCAACAAGAAACTTTTCACACTCAATATGTAAGAAAGAAAAGAAGAATTAATAACAAATTTGTTCAAAAGTTCATCATTTATACAGTCTGTTTAGAAGTATGTTACATTATCTGCGTCGTATATAGTGAATATATTTGTTTTTGTTTGGTGAGGCTTTACAACGTATTCGTTTTTAGTTCTAACTTTCTTCAACGATATATATATATATATATATATATATATATATATATATATATATATATATATATATATATATGATACGAAGTCTGAAAAAAAAAATATATAATAGGAAGTCTGTAAAAAGTATGTGCTATAAAAAGAATACGACAATAACAATTCGGCATTTAATCACCTTCGAAATAGCAGATTAAAGCCAGGCACTTTATCTAGCATCGTTTCCATTAGTGGAAGCATTCCTGGAACTTCATTTTTGGGGAATAGAGAACAGCTGTCTCGTCGCATTCGCGTGGATTCCCTCGATGTCTTGAAATCTTGTACTTTTCAAGTCGGATTTGATTTTTTGAACGAGGAAAAAGGCGCTTTTTTTAAAATTTAGGCATTTCTTTACAGAAACATTTACATATAAAGATTTTATGTATGAACTGATCTTATATTTGTCTTTTATATTTATTTTTGATATTAACAATATCTGTAGAGTTCATTATATGCGAGGAGCTAAGTAGTGGAGTTAAAAGTTTGGCTACTGTACTGTCTAGATTATGTGGGTTGTCAGTTATTCTTGATATAATGTGTCTCACTGGAATTACCTCTCCCACACATAAGATCCTAAAAATGTGCCAATTAATTATTAATCAATATTTTTTCAAATTCGATAACACACACAGACACACACACACACAAACACATATATATATATACTCACGTATATATCTATATATATATATATATATATATATATATATATATATGTACTCACGTATTTATATATTAATTTAAAGAAAAACAGACCATTTTAAGGCTCCATTTGCTATAATTTATTTCACCAGAGAATTTCATTTTTCTCTTGATCTTCAGTCTTCACTTTCAAAGGTGAAAAGAAAAATTTAAAATTTACACTTTTAAATGGCAGTATTAAGCTTATATATGGTGACATAGAGGGTGGTGAAGAATAGTGTAAGAGACATGGTCGAGTTTAAAGAGGGATGGGATAGTTTTAAAATTTATTTTTTATTTTTATTACAATACTTAATATTGAGGAGGAGGGGTTAAGAATCAGACATTGACCTATTTAATCTGTCAACTCAACAGAAATGATATGGGAAAAAGGAAAAAAGAGAAAAAGGGAAAAGGAAAAAAAGTCGGGGTAATAACGAGACAAGATATAAGAGATGTACGTAGGGTTTTTGGAGGAAGGGGAGGGGTGGTATAGCTTTAGTAGTTTAGATAAACACAGATTTTAACGTTTGATGGTAATTCAAATGTTTAAAAACTCCACAAAGAAATGAGATTTATTGCTTGTTAGCAATTTAAATATTTAACTTCTCCACAAATCAATTAGGGATTTAATATAAGCCGAATATTTACTAATAGTAATATTTTAATATTGTGAATGACTTTATCAGTTAGAGTCTAATCCATGAATTTAATTTAAAGCTATTTTTAGATGGGTAATATTTCTTTATTAATGTTTATGTTTCTGGCGTCTCGTCTACAGTCACTTTCTCACAGACGCGCCGTCGCCTCCCTCTGTCTGTTCTACAAATACTTTCATGGAAATTGCTCCGAGGAGCTGCATTCGCTGGTTCCCAGACGTCATGAGTTCCAGCGCCCTACGAGGCTGGCATCCCGCTCTCACCCCTTCACTGTCGAAACTCCTAAATGTAGCCGTCTCTTCTACCCCAATAGCTTCATGTCTCGCACCTCTCGCCTGTGGAACTCCCTTCCCTATTCCTGTTTCCCTGAGAGCTATAATCTCCAGCTATACAAGTGTAATGTCAATCGACATCTCCAGTTGCCTTGATCTATCCACTACCCTCATCCTTTCTTCTATCACTCCTATCTGATCTTGCTCTAAATTTTCTGTAACTCCTTGCGTCCTAGTGGCTTCCCGCCTTGCTTGGGGTGAAATGCTTAAAAAAAAAAAAAATCAAGATGGATTAAGATTTGAAGGTAATACTAAAAAAAATTACTGTTTTTACATACAAACACCACATACATACTTACGTACGTACACATACATTCATATACATGTACAATTACATATATAACATGTATTATTACATCGATATACATCAGTATACACGCATATACATATACAAATACTTACATATACATATATCCACACGCATCCATCTTTATACATATTTAAAGTTTTTCTTAAATTTTACAGTTAACATTAGATAGTGAATTTAGTGTTTAAATTTCAAAAAAAAATATTTTTAATTTTAATATTTTTAATATCATTAATAATGGTTAAGGAGTAACATTTTTTTAATTTAAATCTAAGTGATCAATTTACATTAAGATTATCTCCAGATGAGTGAAATTTCTAATTTTTCAAGTCTAATTAGGAATTATTTCAAATGAAAGTAAAATTAAAACGTAATAAAAAACTTTCTTTCTTTCCGTTAGAATTCTATAAATAAAAACATGCACCCATATATACATATATATGCATAAAACTATATCTTATACATATATTCACAAACATCAAATATATCAATTCGTAAATATATATATACATACAAATATATATGCAACCCCATATACATGAATCGATATATATATACATATACCTAACTAAATTTACGAATACACATGCATATATACATATTTACATACGTATTCACATATATATTCACATATACATATGTATATACATACACACACATAAATTCATATATCCATATACAAGCCCATATACACATTTTTATACATACAATTATGTACCCGCACACATGTGTGCATACAATCATCCTCATTTCTAAATATACGCCAATATTTACCATCTTATATAAATATCTACACTTATATATATACCAACATTAAATATACCAACAGCGTCATCAAGTAATCTTAGTGTGTCATTTCA